GTGGTGTCGTGATCATGGCTCACTGCAGCTTCAAACACTTTGACTCAAGAGAACCTCTCACCTCAGCCTCCCAAGTAGCTGGGACTACAGGTGCACACCACAATGCCTGGCTATTTTTAAAACAATTGGTAGAGATGGGGGTCTTGCTATGTTGTTCAGCCTGGTCCTGAACTCTTGGGCCCAAGCAATCCTCCTGTCTTTGCCTCCCAAAGTGCTGGGTTTACATATGTGTGCCACCTTGTCCAGACCTTTTATCTCAAGAAACCCTTCAGTTTCAGGTAAACCAGACCAGTTGTTCACCCTAGGTAAAGCATGAAAATTCACATTTTTAAGAAGTTCGCAAATGATGCTGATACTGCTGATCCAGGGACACATATTGAGAACTACCAGTCTGTACCTGTGTTTCTCATCTTTGTCTGTCCATTAGAATTACTTGGGGAGTTTAAAAACAATATTCATTCTGATCAAACTGATCTCAGGTGCAGCTGGGTAATTACCCTTGTTAAAAGCTTCTAAGGTGATTCTAGAATACAGCCAAGGTTAAGAACCACTGCTCTACATCCATGAAGCTCATGACTGAACACTTTGACTCTGTCCTGTTAACATCCTGTAATTGTCTTGCCATCTTTACCGCCACTGCTGTGATCCAAGACATCATTTCCTGCATGCCTGGTTGCACTCATCACATGACTGACTTCCCTCCCTCCATGTTTCTCACACCATCTCTGCTTAGTTCTTTATGTAGCTGCTGCAGGAATCTTAATAACAAACTTGATTATATAACTCCCTTGCCGAGGATCTGATGGACTTATATTAGTGTAATTCATTTTATCTGTTTTAAAAAGCAATTGCCAAATCCCAGCCACTTACCACAACAAATGTTTATTCCATTGGCATGCCGTAGTCCAGTGGCTATTCTCCTGAACAACTCTTTTTCCAGAACTGTGGTGGCAGCAATTCTCCCATCATGTAGCTTCATTACCCCTAGGGCTTCCTTGGAGTCCTTCCTTGCATTACTTCCATTTAGTTAACTGAGAGGTGAATGGACACAGTGTGGGGCATGACACAGGATATGTAGAGGCTGGCCCCTGATGTCACATACATCACTTCTGCACATATTCCATTGGCCAGAAAAATCTTGTGGCCCCAGCTAGATGCCAGGTGATGTGGAGAATGTCTTCTTGTGTGCCTAGAGTGAAAATGAAATAGCACAGTGTTTATAAAGTGTTGTCTCCATTACAACTTTTATCAGAATAATACAAACTTAAACACATTGTGTAAAATTTATTGGGTTGTATTGACACTCATTAAAATTACTCCTCATTGCCTTCAGTATAAAGTCCAAAGTCCTGTTCTTGACCTACAGTGATCTTAAGATTCTGTTCCTGACTCACTTTCCAGTCTCAGCTTTTGATACTTTACACAGGAATTCCCAACCCTATTCCCAAAATGTCCCATGCTGTCATGCCAATTTGGGGTCTGAAAAAGCTTTCCTCCTTTGTTCACTTACCTCTCTCCTACTAGCTCCTCAGAGCTCAGTTCAAGAGTCACATCAGAAAGTTTTTTCTGAATCTCCATCACCCTCTACTTCCCAATTTGAAACCGTTTCTCCTATTCTCTATTGCAGTAACCCCTGGCATTCCACACTCATAGACCTCATTGCATTGTATATCTTTGACATGGTCCAGAACATCTTGATTGTGATCATCTCATGGGTGTCAAAAGTGACTTTTTATCATTATGTTTAATACTACCTGATACCTGGTATGTAGCAGACCTTGAATAAAATACTTCTTTGAATAAATGAATGACCATTTAAAGACAATTTTAAAAAAGCCTTGATCTCATACTACAGAGTAGTCAAGATGGTTTCCATTGCAATTTGATAGGTGTAAGCAAAGAGTCCCCTACTTCAGGCACCTCGGTGTGTTGAACTTTTGAATATCCCTTTTATATTGCAAATGGGGTGCTGTATTAAACATGTATTCACCATTAAACACAGCCTTTCTTGGATTGGTTTCTCAGTTTGTGTATCCAGTTATTAGGCAAACTCCATCAGAATAGGACCCAGGAGAAGTGTTTTAGTTACAGCTGAGATTTTAAAACATAAAAATATATTCAAATGATGGGCTATTTAATGAGCAAAGACCTAGATTTTATACCACGCTAGAGGTCTTAGATAGCTAGAGATAGCATAAGGACATATGACTGAGGTCCAAAGGACACACAAATAAATGGGTAAGGACAGAGGGCAGGGCAAGATAGCAGAACAGAAGCCTCCACCAGTTGCCCCCTCCCCAACCCCCACAATAAGGACACCAACTTAAAAACTATCTACACCAAAAAAAAGGTACTTTCATAAGAACAAAAAATAAGGTGAGCACCCACGCAGTACCTGGTTTTAACTTCATATCACTGAAAGAGGCACTAAAGAGGTAGGAAAAGCAATCTTGAATCAATCACCAATGACACCCTCCCCCATCCCCCACAGTGGCAGTGAGGTGCAGAGAGCATTTTCCCATGCTGGGGAGAGGAAGACACAGAATTTATGAGACATTGAACTCAGTGTTGCCCTATTATAACAGAAAACAAAACTGAGCCAAACTCAGCTGATGCTCAAGGGAGGGAGCATTTAAACCATCCCTAGCCAGAGTGAAATTGCTGATCCCAGTGGTCCAAATGTGAGTTTCTACAGCCCTTAGTACCCTGGGCTAAAGTGCTTTGGGGCTCTACATAAACTAGAAAGATAATCTAGGTGACATGGACAGCAACCCCTAGGTAAGTCGTAGTGTTAAACTGGACCCAGAGACAATAAACTGGGGGCATGCAACATACAGAGACACCAGAGGGGTGGCTAAGGGAGTGCTGACACCACCACTCCCCTAACGCCAAGCTGCACAGTTCATAGTTTTCAAAGAGACCCCTTCCCTCTTCTTGAGGAGAGAAAGGAGTGGGAGCAGACTTTGTCTTGGATCTTGGATACAGCTCAGACACAGCAGGATAGGGCACCTGTCAGGGTGTTGAAGCCCCTTTCCAGGCCCTAGTTCCTAAATGACATTTCTAGATACACCCTGCCAGAAGGGAACCTGGTGTCTTGAAGGGAAGGATTCAGTCCAGGCAGAATTCATCACCTGCTAACTGAAAAGCCCTTGGGACCTGAATAACCAGCAGTAATACCCAGGTTCTACATTAAAGATCCTGAGTGAGACTCAGACTTGTTGGCTTCAAGTGACATTCAGCACATTCCCAGCTGTAATGGCTACAGGGTGAGACTCCTTCCACTTGAGAAAATGGAGGAAAAAGCAAAGGGGACATTGTCTTGCACTTTAGGCACTAACTCAGCTACAGGGTGGTAGAGCACCAAGCAGGCTTCTGGGGTCCCCAGTTGCAGGACTTCGCTATTGAATGGCATTCCTGGTCCTGCCCTGGGCCAGAGGAGATCTCATTGCCCTGAAGGGTGAGTGCCAGGCCATGCAGTAGTCACCACAAGCTGACTAAAGAGCCCTTGGGCCTTAAAGGAACATCAGTGATAGCCTGCACTATTCTTTGTGGGGCTGTGGTGGTAGTGGCTATACGGTGAGGCTCCTCTGCCTTTAAAGAGAAAAGGGAAGAGTGAGAAGAGCTGTGTCTTGTGGTTTGAGTGCCAGCTCAGCTGCAGCCACAGTACAGTAGAACACCAGGTAGATGTCTTAAGGTTTTTTATTCTAATCCCTGGTTCCCAGACAGCACCTCTGGAAATGCCCAGGGCCTGGGAGAACTGGCTACCCTGAAGGGAAAGATGTGGGCCAGGTTGGCATTGCCACCTGCTAATTGTAGAGCCCAAGGGCCTTAAGCGAACATAGGTAGTAGTCAGGGAGTGGTTAAAGTAGGCCTTGGGCAGAACCCAGTGCTGTGCTGGTTTCAGGTCTAACCCACAGGGGTGCTTGTGTCATATCACCGCCAGCTCTAGGTGTCTCAGAAGAGAAAGAGATACTTTGTTTATTTGGGAAAAATTAAGGGAGGAGAACATGTCTCTGCCTGGTAATCCAGATAATTCTTCTGGATCTTTTCCTAGACCATCAAGGGGGTACCTCTACAAGTCTGCAAGAACCGCAGTGTTACTGGGCTTGGGGCTCCTCCTAAAGTAGAGTCAGTTTAGATCACAACACATAAGTCCTTTAGAATATCTGGAAAGCTTTCCAAAGAAGGATGGGTACAAATAAGCCCAGAAGGAAAAGACTACAGTAAATATCTGACTGTTCAATGCCCAGACACCAAAGAACATCTAAAAGCCTCAACACCATCCAGGAAAACATGACCTTGTCCCGTGAACTAAATAAGCCACCAGGAACCAATCCTAGAGAAACAGAGATATGTGGCCTTTCAGCAGAGAATTCGAAATGGCTGTGCTGAGGAAACTCAAAGAAATTCAAGATAACACAGAGAAGGAATTTAGAATTAGGCAGATTTAATGAAGAGATTAAAATAATTGAAAAAATCAAGCAGAAATTTTGGAGCCAAAAAAATGCAATTTCTATATGGGAGAATGCATCAAGGTCTTTTAATAGCAGAATTGATCAAACAAAATTAGCTTGAAGACAGACTACTTGAAAATACACAGAGGAGGCAAAATAAAAAAATAAAAAATGAAGCATGCCTACAGGACCTAGAAAATAGCCTCAAAAGGGAAAATGTAAGAGTTATTGGCCTTAAAAAGGAGCTAGAAAAAGAGACAGGGGTAGAAAGATGATTCAAAGGAACAAGAACAAGAACTTCCAAAGCTACAGAAAGATATCAATATCTAAGTACAAGAAGGTTATAGAACACCAAGCAGATTTAACACAAAGACAACTACCTCAAGGCATTTAATAATCAAAACCCCCAAAGGTCAAAGATAAAAAAGGGGTCCTGAAAGCAGCAATAAAGAGAAACAAATAATGTACCACGAAGTTCCAAAACGTCTGGAAGCAAACAAAAGCTTGCTGTGGAAACCTAATAGGCCAGAAGAAAGTGGCGTGACAGTGTTGTATGAAAGGAGAGAAGCTTAGCACTCCCCTTGACAAGAATGGTGGAGGCTGTCAGGCCTGACAACACACGTACAGTTAAGGCATTGCCACCTACTTTGTGGCATCTAACCATTTTTTAAAGGAAATGTGGCACATATACACCATAGAATACTATGCAGCCATAAAAAAAAGGATGAGTTCATGTCCTTTGCAGGGACATGGATGAAGCTGAAAACCATCATTTTCAGCAAACTAACAAAAGAACAGAAAACCAAACACTGCATGTTCTCACTCATAGTGGGAGTTGAACAATGAAAACTCATGGACACAGGGATGGGAACATCACACACCGGGGCCTGTTGGGGAATGGGGGGCTAGAGGAGGGGTAGCATTAGGAGAAATACCTTATGTAGATGATGGGGTGATGGATGCAGCAAATCACCAGGGCACATGTATACCTATGTAACAAACCTACATGTTCTGCACATGTATCCCAGAACTTAAAGCATAATAAAAATAAGAAAGTGGCATGACACATTTAAAGTGCTGAACTGGGGCCTGTAGGTGGTGGTGGGGTGGGGGGGATGAGGGACTAGGGGAGGGATAGCATTAGGAGAAATACCTAATGTAGATGATAGATTGATGAATGCAGCAAACCACCATGCACGTGTTTACCTTTGTAACAAACCTGCACATTCTACACATGTATCCCAGAACTTAAAGTATAAAAAAAAAAAAAAAATAAGTTCTTAAAGAAAAAAAAACTTTTACCTGACAAAAATATCCTTCAAACATGCAGGAGAAATTAAAACTTCCCCAAACAAACAAAAGCAGAAGAATTTCAAAAGCAGTTGAATTTCAAATTTCAACACAAGAGCTTTCCTACAAGAAATGCTAAAGGTAGTACTTCAATCAGAAAGAAAAGAATGTTAATGAGCAATAAGAAATCATCTGAAGGTGCAAGGCTCATGGGTAATAGTAATTATATTAATAGTTATAAATTCAGTGGCCTGATGACCTTAAGGGCTCAGCTAGCTCCACTAACTAGTCAACTAACTACCCATTAGAAGCACCAGGCAAAGTTGTCATCTTCCAATGGAAATCACCTTTATTTTCCGTGGCATTGATCTGTTGTACACCATACTGTAAATATATAATGCATAATTATCTTCCCTTGTTTGCATTTTTAGCATGGGAGATGGTCAGAGCTTATATCAGGAAGATAATTCCAAGATTCTTCCCCATTTTCATCTACCATCTTCTGGGGTATAGTTGGCATGGAAAGATGGTACTATATATCTGACTATATAAATATATTTCTGGAGTATTTCCATTGCCTTTCTATATCCATTCTCTACTCTCCACTCTGAGATTTGACCTTTACTGTCTACAAGTTCCCTTATCCTCTTCTAAGTTTGTTCATAGGCTGCATGAACAGTGAATCAGGTGAGAGAAAAGGTTCTGTACAATTATCCAGCTGGCTCCCTCCCCATGGGTTACAATAGGTGAGATGACTGTTTACAGAAGTCCGCAGGTCCAGTAGGTTGACCTCTAGGTTGCTGGAAGTTACCTCCAGTTACTCAGCAAGGTTTCGTTAATTGCTCCTTCTATGATTGGTGTTGGTTCCCTGCAATTGCTAGCCCCATCATGTTTTATTACCTCTCATCGGTTTCCTTAATCCAGTAAATAAGTCTCTTAAACACTGGAAATGCTGCTTTACTGAAGTTTCCGGCTGGAGAATTCCCTTTCTTTCCTACAGGACTCTGACTGATACAGTAACTGTCTGATTAAAAACAGATAGTTGACATTTAGCAGCCAGTTGAAAGTCTACAAATATGCTTAGTCTGTTTTCATAAACTACAAATGCTTAAAAAGTTACTTACGACCAATGCAAAAGTGTCATATATTTAACACTATTTTGAAGGCCTTTCCAAGTGCACAGTGCCAATCCACGATTCAATCCCTCCTGGCAAACGATGTTACAAATAAGAGGGAGAGAGTTTAAATTAGTGCTCTCTAGATTCAGAGTTAGGGGTTAGGCGCACTACTGCATAGAATTGAAATCAATTTCTATACTATAGAATGCCATAAAAAGTGCCCAATGTCCTCTTAATGTAACTTTTGGAATACTATTGATTGAGTGAAATTTTGAGGTCCCAGAAGTTGAACATTCACATGACCATCCTAAGTGCCCTGTCTGACTAAACCAACAACATGTCTCTGTTTAGTGACCACTATGAGTGAATTTACCTCCAGCCCTACTTGCGCTACATAGATGTATGTTTTAAAATCACTTACTTATTAATGCATATTAATACATAGTCTTAAGATACACACATTGCAAAATAAAATAAGCTATGGGGTGGCATGCCAACGCTCCCACTTACTAGCTGTCTCAAAAAGTTAATCTCTAAATTTCAGCTTTCTGAAATGACAGAGGGTAATAACAATTTTTACCTCATGGATTTTGTAAGATACAAATGAATTAGTAAATCTAAGTGTTTAGCACAGTAACTCATAAAAAGCACTGACTGAATGGTTCTATTCTGTTACGCATCTCTCTTTTCGTCATAATAAGCTGTTGTGTAATAATTTATTACATAGCAGAGCACTGGAAACTTTCTTTTGTGGCTGTCACCTTCCAGGCTACCATATCTGTCCCTACAGTCACTGTATTTATTTCTGGGAATGGCATTCCAGCTGAGAGAGTCCAAAAAGTATAGAATAGGAAGGAACTTTGGACATGATGTAGTCCAGCCTGCTCAGTTTAATGATAAGAAATCCAGGACCCAGATGAGTGAAATGACCTATGGGCTCACTGATGCAACCGCCAAGCAGGAACTAGCGGCAGCGCTTCCGTTTCCCCTGCAGCTGCCCTGTTCACCACACAGTGGAGATGCCTACAGAAATGGTTTCTGAGAGCATAGCTCCTGCTCTGAGTCCGAAATCTCTCTTTGGCGGGGGGCGGGGGGGATTACACTGCTTGGTCTTTCACGCCTATGGCCTAGTGAAGGTCCCAATCCTGTTCTCACCACCACCCACCTCAAAATGGACATTATAACATTCCAAGATAGGTGCTGAGACCTCTACTTACAGCTCTCCAAGACGCAAGCTCAAGTCAGAGCTCCTAATTTAGGCATAAATTAACTGGTTAACATTTTGAAATAAATCATTTTCTCCTGAAGGCTTCAGGGCAAAGAAATCAGAAGCATGAAGGGTAAAGACCCTGGTCAAAATCACCAGATACAAAAGATCACATACTATATGATTCCCTTTATATGGAATATCCAGAATAAGTAAATCTAGAGATACAGAAAATAGAGTAATGGTTGTTAGGGCTGGGGGAAGGACAAATGGGGATGGAGTTTGCTCTTGGAGTGAGGAAAACGTTGTGCTACTAGATAAAGGTGATGGTTATGTATATGAATGTATTAAATGCCCCTGAATTGTATACTTTAAATAATTTTAACATTATGTGAATTTGCTTTCAATTTTTAAAAATCACATGAATACAAGTATATTATTGTTTGCCAATGGTATCATACAGACAATCACCTAGTCTGAGAACTCTTACACACCAGTTGTTTTTGTCTGTTCTTCTAGTCTGTGCCCACTTACAATTTTATTTTTATCAAGCTGTGCTCAAAAATCTTTGCAACTTTGCTGGAAGTTTCTTCAAGGAGTCAATTTTTTCTGTCTGTAAATGATTCCTTCAAGATACCAAGTGTTTCATTCAACTGATATACTGAGGAGAGATATTGATCCATAGTTTTCTCTTCTTGTAATGTCCCTCTCTGGTTTAGTTACCAGGATCTTGCTGGTTTAGTAAAATAAGTTGGAAATGTCTTTTCTTCTCTATTTTCTGAAAGAGCTTATAGAAGAATTGTATTACTTTTTCTACCACAATTTTTTAGAATATACCACTGAAGCAATTTGGGCCTGGAATTTTCTTTTTTGGAAGAATTTTTATTATAAATTCAACCTATTTAATGAATACAGATTTTCTGTTAAACAGATCAATATTTGCTTTTACTTCTTTTGTCAGTTTTACTAACTTGTAACTTTGTTAGCATTCTTATTCATTTTGAAAAATTTTAATAATTTTCTTAGGATTTCCTCTTGATCCATGATTATTTGTAAACATGTTACTTAATTTCTAAATACTTTAGGATTTTTCCAGGGTTTATTTTTTTCTATTGATTTCTATTTTAACTGTGTTTTGGTCAGAAAATAGACTTGTATTATTTCAGTCTTATATAAGCCAGATAATATAATCAAAATCAGGAAGGTGATACTTACATATTCCTACCATTGAATACTGAGGGCCAGTTTTCCATTGTTCCAATAATACCTTTACAGAATGAGGACTTAGTTGAGAAACAGTCATTGCATTATTTTTTGTCATTTGTTTTTTTAAGTCCGATTCGGTCTGGAAAAGTTTCTCAAAATTTTCTTGACTTTCATGAACTTGACTCTTTTGGCATTTACAGGCCAATTATTTTGTAGAATGATCCCTGATTTGGACCTGTCTAATGCTTGCTCCTCATGACACTTGGGTGTTCTTGTTGCTTCCTGTCAGGGAATGCACAAGATCAGTATCTTCCTTCTCTTTGATCACTTGTTTAGGATCCTGTCTGCCAGGTGACATTACTCTTTCCAATTTGTAATTAATATGTATTTTGTGATAAATTACTTTGAAAGTATGTAAATGTGCTATTCTTCATCAAACATTTTATTCATTCACTAATTTATTTATATCTTTATGGTCTCATAGTTTCTTATTTAATTCAATGAATTAGAATTTACTACTGACTACATTTTTTCCCTCAAATTATCCTTGCTTAAACCAGTAGCTACTTTTGCAGTTTTTGACAGGTTCTCTGTCTCTCTCTCTTTTTTCTTTTTCTTTTTTCTTATTATTCTTTAAGATCTGGGACATATGTACAGATCGTACAGGATTGCTACATAGGTATAAACTTGCATAGTAGTTTACTGCATCCATCCCCCGTCATCTCCATTAGGTATTTCTCTTATGTTATCCCTCCCCACTCCCCCACCCCCTGCTAGTCCTCCCCTAGCTCTCCCACCCACCAGCAGGCCCCAGTGTGTGATGTTCCCCTCTCTGTGTCCATGTGTTC